ATCAGAGTTCGCACATCATCAACTGCATTCTCTCGACCCATTACTATATGGTCTTTCCAGGGAGGAAGGTACAGTGTTGTGCCGTCTGCGTGTGGGCGTAGCCTTCACAAATGTCTACTCATTTAAGATTGGTATGCCCGACAGTGTGGACTGCAATGACTGCGTCTTTGATGAGACTATTGGACACCTTTTATATTACTTACTGTCCAGCATACTCAAACGAGAGGCTTCACCTTCGCACTGTTCTAAGTCCACTCGACGAAAGTGGTTTCACTGTGAAGAAAGTATTGAAACCACGGCTCATCCCATCCCAGATCCAAAAGGGCAACGAAAGTGCTTTTACGTTTTTCCAAAGAGACCGCTCTGCTTCATCGTTTGTGATGTGAAACGTGAGACTGTTGCCTTCCGGCCCAGTCGGTGACATTTCTCTCCTCCTCTCTAATTTTATATGCGAAGCATTTCTTAGCGAACTTTGACGACTTTGAGCGTATCTATCTATCTATCTATCTATCTATCTATCTATCTATCTATCTATCTATCTATCTATCTATCTATCTATCTATCTATCTATCTATCTATCTATCTATCTATCTATCTATCTATCTATCTATCTATCTATCTATCTATCTATCTATCTATCTATCTATCTATCTATCTATCTATCTATCTATCTATCTATCTATCTATCTATCTATCTATCTATCTATCTGTCTGTCTGTCTGTCTGTCTGTCTGTCTGTCTGTCTGTCTGTCTGTCTGTCTGTCTGTCTGTCTGTCTGTCTATGTATCTATCTATCTATCTATCTATCTATCTATCTATCTATCTGTCTATCTATCTATCTATCTATCTATCTATCTATCTATCTATCTATCTATCTATCTATCTATCTATCTATCTATCTATCTATCTATCTATCTATCTATCTATGTGTCTGTCTGTCTGTCTGTCTGTCTGTCTGTCTATCTATCTATCTATCTATCTATCTATCTATCTATCTATCTATCTATCTATCTATCTATCTATCTATCTATCTATCTATCTATCTATCTATCTATCTATCTATCTATCTATCTATCTATCTATCTATCTATCTATCTATCTATCTATCTATCTAGCCGCTTACGTTTGAGTGCTCTCGTGGTTACCCCCTTCACTTGGCGTGAACCGAAATTAGCATGGGAGGGTAAGATGGTTTGACGAATATGACGCGCTGGTCAAGACATGAATAACGTCAAAATCCCGTCGCGTACGTCGTCCAACACATCCCGCCAGACATTGGCACATACCCAGGGGCAGGTATGTGCCGCTGGTATGCAGGTATGAGCCACTAGTGATTGACACTTAGGCTAGTTCCAATTCTTAGACAGCACGTAGACAGTCTACACAGACTGCTTAGAAGACGGCACCGAGCCCATGCTGTCCGAGAATCGGAACACGTTTAGACAGCTTTTACGCGATGATGCGCAACCTCGCGTCTAGAAAAAAAAGCTAGAAGAAACAAACGCAACAGTTGTAATTTCTGGCTTATTTTGTGCTGAAATAAAATAAAAATAAACGTTACTCACATTGAGCGTTTGGGAAAGCGTCTGCTTGTGTGCAGACGGCCATTCTGGCGAGATTTGATCTATCTGAGGGATTCGCTGAGCCGCCATCTTGTTTAGACAGCAAAGTAGCCTGTATCGTATTTGTCTACGATGTTGTCTTCACGGAGCTGTCTACATTGCCGGCTACGTCAGAATTGGAATAGGACTTAAGATGGCCGCCTTCCATTTAGCTGTCTATTTAGCCATGTGCGGTGAGTATTGGAACACAGCCTTAGTATCTACCCAGGAAAGACGAGAACACACATGGGCAATTTGAACGCGTGAGCGTTAAGAAATACCCGTCATCGGTAGCGTCGACCCGACGAATGCAAATAACAAATGTCAGGATCTCAGCTGGAATCAAACCCAAGCATTCTGCGTGGCAATGCAGCATTTTACCACAGAGCTACGCCAAGTTTAAGAACTACAGTTCAAATAGACGCTAATCTTCATGAAACGTCAGTTGTGGTTGCAGTGCTGTCTACCCAATTTTATAAACATTACATATGTACTCCTTTTATGCAGCCGTACCGTAGGGATACCGTCAATTGTGGTTAGGTGACATGCGCTGAATTTGATTTATGTAGGCAGTGTCCAGGGCCAGCATCCTCGCGAGCATCAGCGCTTCATATCAGCTTCTGGTACTGCCAATAGGCATGGTGCAGTTAACATCGTTGCGCAAGTGCAAGCAACTGGTTATATAAACACCTGCAACTGGTCAACAATATGTCTGTGCGTGCAACACTTGTACATATATTTAGCGTCATTCATGACGTGTCACTCAATAACAAAATTGCAACACTGTCACCTTCCCTGCGCATGCTTCGCATAACTTCGATTCCCAGGTGATCTGCCGAATTTTTTTCTTCTCCTTTCCCCATCGCAGGGTAGCCTACCGAGCTCAACCCTGGTTAGCTTTCCCGCCTTTTTTCTTATTCTTTATTTTTCTATCTCTAACTATCTCATCTGCCTTTATAAATTATTCGATGTTTGGTGCCCCTTACTCCCACAAGCAATTTAAGTGCTGAGGTCGACTTATGTGTACCCATGGTCAATAACGAGCTTCATCCATGTACTTCTTAATAAATAGCCGAATACGTATGGTTATAGTGCAATGATAGAGCGGAGTGTTGTCTGCATTTGAGTAAAAAGGTACTCCTCTTTCACTTAATGCCCTATAGATCCATTAGTGTACTCACCAATTTTAAGTAGTGTTCGAGAGACCTGGCAATCACCCAATGCCAGAGGAATGAATTTTAGCGCACTCCGTGAGACCGTCCTTAGCTCAGAAGACTTGGAGGGTGCTGTTGTGTTTCTTGCGAACTTGTCTTGACAAAGTTCAAGCAGTGTCGACCGTATACTTCTCCACTTCTTTTTCTTCTTTTCTTTATTGTGACATCTCTTTTGTATTACCTTCCATCTTCCCTTTCTTCAGCGCCGGGTAGCCAGGTGGTTTGAGAACGAGTCATCTTTCCTGGCCTTCCGCCTTTCTCCTCCTACTCCTGACCGATTTTCAGAAGGTCGTGAGCCCATCTGAACTAAAATTACTTGAACTTTTTGATACAACGCATAGATGTTGCACTCTAAGATTGCGGGGATGCTGTTATCCGGAGGAGTAAAAAGAATGCTTAAGTTTCCTGTTAAAGAATTAGATTAAACCTTTCCACCAAACACTATCTAGTGTTCGTTTCGTCTTTTTTCTTTTTCGTTCCTTTATGTTACAGAAACTTCGGCAGAAATGAAGGCTCAGTTGGTGTCCTAGTTTATGAATGGTGGTTGCTGTGTGTGTTGTAAGACCATGTTGTCTTATCATGGACACGGCGACTCTAGAGGGACGAAGCGGGCCCAGTAGCGGTCGTTGCACCATCGGAATCAGGGGGTGGGCGAGGTCTTCACCGTCGCCAGTCAATTGGCTCGTCCAGCTTGCTCGGGGGCTGCGGAAATGGAGACGTATTCGGTCTTCGGAGCGCTTGCCGTAGGATTTATTGTGAGCTCCCAGCTGTGGAAGGCAAGGCGACGGCCTCACAGACAGAGGGTGGGGGGAAGGCTCGGAATAAAGCCTCGACGTTGGTTCATTGGCAACTTTGAGCGTGCCGAGGCAGCTGCTGTACGCTAATGAACCTAATCACAAACCCGCGGGTGGTGCAGGACTGGACGAAGGGGAAAAGGCGTATCGTTGCGTTTGGTGTTCTGTCTGCTATAGAGGGGGGCCTGATTCGTGGCGTGTGGTTGAGAACTCTGTCGCAGGAAGCAAAGGAACGGACCGAGATGAATCCCGGTCGGGAGGCGAGATGAGAATAAGCCCGAATTTCAGGAAATTTGCAGGGACCCCTCGGGGTGTGCGTTTCCGGATTCTCAGTTCTCTATTCGGGAATTTTTGGAACACCGTGCTTAGCGCTTGTGGGCGTATATACAGATTGAGATGGGTCATTTGGGATGAGAGTTGTCTTTCTTCGATCTGACAAACAGACGCGCTCACTGTACGAGTAGTCACTGAAGTTCGTAGGAGCAGCTTAGCGAGTGCTTTCCCGCTTTTTCTTGTTTTTTTTTATGAGAGATGGAGATACAAAGAGATAATTACGTTTGAAGTAAGGTAAATGGTGGCGTCAGGTTAGTTCGTAAGAAAGGTGCCAAGGGTCTAACTGCGTAGTCCTCTTTGTGATAGTTAGTAAATAATGAAGCAACAAAGGGTATTAGTGAGTGACACACCAGCATAAGCAAACATGCGCGAAATAAACTCAACGATCTAAAACTTCAGCTGCCGGTGTATGTACTATGTTTAGCACTTACACGAAGTAGATGCTAGCCAACTTATTCGAGACTCAGAGTTGCGGGAGAGACCGTTCAAGTCATTTTTCTCGCAGAGCGGTGCAGTGTGGTCCGCAGCCCTGAATAGAAAATGCCAGTGAGTGTTTCCAAAGTAACAATAACGTGGAGGTAAAGGGATTCCTCACCCATGTTAAATTTACAGACGATTCTCGATTATTGATCCCTCTATGAGAAAACGCCAGTGAGTGTTTCCAAAGTAACAATAACGCGGAGGTAAAGGGATTCCTCACCCATGTTAAATTGACAGACGATTCTCGATCATTGATCCCTCTATGAGGTCCGCACACTCCACCGAGCCAAAACCAAAGCGTTCTTCTGACAAGAAGAGCTGCATGACGCGAAGTGGAAATGCACATAAATGCAAATTTCGACCACCGGGGCGTGTTGTAAAGACAAAGTACATTGAATTAGGTTTTCAGCTTGACTAGCGCACCGTTGCATGGTAGCATGTGCGGGAACACTGGATGGCTACAGGCATGCAAATCAACTTTGTTGTTGTTTCAACTGTCGAGATAATTGGCTGCACGTATCGCCCGGGTGTCTGTGAATGGTAGTTTATCCGCGGATGCTCGTCGCCTTCGTTCGCAGGTCAAGCTAACGGCAAGCGCCATGGCCTTGTCCCCACCGGCTCTAAGGAAATGCTGGAGCACAGCTACCGGGGAGCCCTCGATGCCGGCCCCACGCCAGACGGTTTCTACTCGGCGCTGGACTCCAGCAGCGCGTACATCGTGCTCAACGAAGCGTACGTGTGACTCACTGAAACTCGTGCATGCTTCTTTCTCCCAGTGTCGATGAAGAGCAGGTGCCGTAAAACTTCATTGTTAACTCTTAGCGGTAGAACCTCTAAAACGCATCATGTCGCACTGGTTCAGCGAATGTTTCACGTCGTAGTGGAAGAACGATTGTTCTAAAGTGAACACGTGACAGATATCGGTTTTTCTGTCTGTGTGGGAAGTTCACTGCTGCTCTAAACAATTCTATATTGAAACATTTTTGGGGCACAACATCAGAATTTTTCAGATATGAGACGTTCTCTCCCAAGACAGCATTATATCTGTGTATTAAAGGATCTCTTTATCAGGGACTATACGTCCTACACAATAGACACGTGCCAGGATACCGGAGACTGAGATGGGAATGCTATGTCATTGTTTCCAAACGTACTTAGCCCTTAATCATGATCGTTGCACTGGTAACGCGCTTGGTGCTTCACAGAGCTGGCAAATATTTTCATTGTTATGCCTATAGTGAAGCGGTTCTGATACCGATATCGATGTAGAGGGCATATCACTAATGGCACGGAATAACCACACCTTCAAGGAAAAAAAAAACATCGCTGGCTTCTCCATCATGAAAATCAGCATGATGCGAAAGTGAACGTGTCTTCACAAGTAGTGTTTAGTGTGTAGCGAGTCATGAGATCATGTACAAAAGTCTTCTGGTGCTTGGCAGCTATATAGCCGTTTGACGTTGATGCCCCGATGTTGATGCCTAGTGGACATCTTCATCGTGACGATCATCGTCCGTCATCATCATTTAACTCTTGTGTTTGCAAAAGTTAACAAATACGTGCAGGCAACGTATCATGAATCCCGCACAAAGATGGCATCAACAAGCACGTAATGAACAGTGGTACTCGATATTCACTTCTTCGAAGCGTCGTCGATTGATGAGAGGAACGGCATGCTGTTTGCTCCGGAGTAGTAGTGTAACATGCGTTTGTGCTCGCGCGTACACTACCAAATCGTGCTTTATCGAGGCAGAGGCTTATAGCTGAGCTGCGACCGCTTGCACACGTTCCACGTCCTGCTGCCATCTGTCTCGATCCACTAAGTAGATCATTAGCCTGTCGACATTGTAGTCTTTCTGCAGCGCTTATTGTAGCAGTTTTATATAAAAGTCGATGTTATCGCACTCGGAGGAGTCGGCGGCTGAAAAATGTCGTTGGCGCTTTGGGAAGCTGCACTGCTTCTACAAAAAGCTGTCACCCGTAAACACGAAGTGAAAGGCAATGAACGTAACTGCGTCTTGGGCGACTTCATGATGTTAGTGCAGCCAGCGCTTTAACACGAAAGTGTATTTTGCCGGTGTCCACCATGACTTTGGTGATGTATTTCTGTCACGGAAATCACGCAGAAAAAAATACACCTGATCATAACATAAAGGAAAAATGTTTCATCAACGGGAATCGAACCCCAGCTGGAGTTGTCGCGGATTTGATTCCCTGGGGTGGGACTTTTCTCTTAGTTTTTTTTTTTCTCATAAATTACCATCTATAATATCAACGTCCAAACAATGACGGAAACACGTGGCTGAAATCATGAAGGAACCCGCCACACAAACACACACGCAAAAAAAAACTTTTGTTCGAGAAAAAAATAGTACTATTTACCATCTATACCGTGTATATTTTAAGAAAAAGTTGAAATAAAACTCGTACCTTATTACGACTACGTAAAACGCGATTACTTAAAACTTCCGCCTGATGTAGAAGGAACTCAGCGTTCACTGACTGGTTATAACTCGTTGCTCCTCATCTTGTTCATATTGTTACGTGGTTTCGGCTGACTGTAACAGGGCATAGTGGGACATACCCAAAAAGGGCGCCTCAGACTAAGAGTGAAGAAGTGGACGCTGTTGGTGAGCTGTGCAGTGGCTGTGAACTGCCTACTTTGATTTCCACGTAAGAATATATATATATATATATATATATATATATATATATATATATATATATATATATATATATATATATATATATATATATATATATATATATATATATATATATATATATATATATATATATATATATATATATGACGCTATGATGACTGGGAGACGTGGCCTGGCTCATACGCTATGTTTATTCTATTCTGACTTCTTCCTACTCTACTTCTCCCAACCACCCCTGCCTTCTTACATCACACACACACGCACACACGCACGCACACATACATACATACATACATACATACATACATACATACATACATACATACATACATACATACATACATACATACATACATACATACATACATACATACATACATACATACATACATACATACATACATACATACATACATACATACATACATACATACATACATACATACATACATTTATAGTAATATTTTTTTATGGAAGATCGCGGACTTCTCATACGTCCGCTGCTGGGTTCCATGCCGGTTTCTTGTTTTTAGGGTAGCTTGCCCTTGTGGCATACCCATACCGGTAGGGTCTTATTGCTGCGTTGGCACTCGTATTTTTGTCAAAGGGTAAAAATGAGTGGTTCCGTCCACACTATGTCTACTCGAAATTCTGTGCTACGTCTCACTAATGTTATGGTTTAAATTAAACAGTTTAATATTGAAGCATTATTCTTCACATAGCGTTGTGTCGACGCTCTACTGAACGCACCGTGCACAACATTTTTTAGCAAGAACTGTAAGTTTTGTAGCTTCATGCGTGACTTTCAAACTCCTTGCTTTTGATCGATCTTTCTATGACATGGTTTTTGGCACTTCGTCCAACTGAACCGGTCATACAAGTGTAACTGTGGTGGAACAACTTAAACGATGGTGCTTTCTAGGCTGTCATATATAGGTCGTGATATTATCAATCTACCAGTCATAATTTGAGAATGTTTGCCAAATGTGCTCCACCCCATTATTATTTTTCTAGTTATTTAAGTCTCGTGGTTTGGCTCCGCGGTTACCACCTGTCTTAAGTAGACGTACTCTTTTACAGCTTCAAGTACAGTGCTATACCTATCTCGAAGCGTGTTCTCTTCCGATGTTGTTGTACGTTACTTTCCTTCTCTGCAGATTAATTTTATGACCTATCTTTCTGGTCTCAACTCAGTAATCATGAATTTCAATTCGTCCCCTGAGTTGCTCAGCACTGCAAATTCATCGGCGAAGCGCAGGTTACTAAGGTACTCTCCATAAACTCTTATTTCTAACTATTCCCAATTAAGGCTTCTGAAAACCTCTTGTAAGCACGCGGTAAATAGCCCTGGCGAGACCGTATCCCCTTGTCTTGCACCCTTCTTTATTGATAATTCTGTCGCTTTCTTTATGGAGCACTATGGGGGCAGTTGATCCCCTGTGGATTTCTTGTAGGATGTTTACACATGTTTCGTCGACATCCTAATTCCGCATTGTCTTCATGGCTGCTGATATCTTTACTGAATCAAATGCCTTCTTGTAATATATAAAGGTTATGTATAGTGATTGGGTGTATTCTGAGCATTTCTCTATCACTTGATTGATAGTATGAATGCGGTGGATTGTTGAGTAGCCTGTTCGAAATTTCGCTTGTTTTTTTTTGGTTGATTGAATTATAACGTTGTCTTAATTCTTTTAGCAATTACCTTGGTAAATAGTTTGTATACAAAAGAGAGCAAGCTGATCGGCCTGTAATTCTTCAAGTCCTTGTCATCATCCCCTTTCTTATAAATTAGGATTATGTTAGCATTCTTCCAAGATTCTGGTACCCTCCCTGTCAAGAGACACTTCGTAAACAGGCTGGCTATTTCTTCTAACAAAATCTGTCCTCCATTTTTCAGCAGATTTGATGCTACCTGATCCTCACCAGCAGCTTTGTCTCTTTACATTCCTTACTTTCCTACGTGACTACTGGTGGGATGTCATCTGGAGGACTGCTAGTTCCTACATTGTGGTTGTGGTTGTCCCGGCTACTGTACAGCTCTATGTAAAACTTCTCTGCTACTTTAACTATCCTATACATATTCGTATAGTTACTTTGCTTTCCTTGTTCCTTAGTGCATACATCTGGTTTTTGCCTATTTCAAGTTTGCTCTTTACCGTTTTGACACTTCCTTCGTTATTTAGAGCATGTTCAATTATCTCCATGTTAAACCCTCTTACCTTGGATCATCATCATCATCATAATAATCATCAGCCTGACTACGCATACAAATGTGACAAAAAATTAAATGCTTACGAGCGCATGCACCAATTGTCAGTCCGCGCTTGAGACGGCTGCAATTAAGGTCGGGATGAATTCGTCGAAGGATATATACCGTAGGTTACTTGACTGAACGTTACGAGAAATGCGTTGACGATAGGTTAGTCTAGAAACTAGTCACTGGATCATGCACTCATTTGAAATTTGTTGTGTATGAACACCTGTTTGGTGAACTTTGGAGGGGGACCAGGTAATGCTTAATGTCGAGGAGTACAGAAAAAAAAATTCTAAAGACCGATGACACCAATACGTAGAGAACGTTAGTGACACGTATTGAGTATGAATCTCGCAATATTAAAATAATTATATAGGAAGAATTTTGAAAAAAAAAGAAATCTAGGTTTCACCCGAACGGAACAAGAAACCATGAACCGAAAAACACGACAGAATAGTGAAGACTTGGTATGTAAACTATAACTCCCTCAGCGCGTTCACCACCTGAGGGAGTATGGCAGCGAACGTCGTGTAGTGCATTTAAAATAGTAGGGAGTTTGCAATCCGCGACACACACTTCTTACACCGTGGTTGCACCACAACCTCTAGAGACCAACATGTATCTCTCAATACATCTATATTGCGCATGGTCGAAGATTCATAACCGCATACTCGGTAAGTAAGCGTAGTGGGCCGCGTAGACAGTGCGCACCGAGGAATTGCGGGCCTCCGCGACTCCTTCACGTCATCGGTTCTCCGCCAGTAGTCAGGCCTCGCAGTCCGAACACACGCCGCGGTGCATTCATTTGCCGCATGAAACTTGCAAGGGCGTTAATAAGCAGGTCGCGATGCGGCCTCGACGACGGGGCAGGAAGCAGCGGCCTTTGATGTCCGGCTGGCACTAGGCCGCGTCGTGGCTCTATCAAACTTGCAGGCATCGATGGATGTGTGTACACACGGCGGGAGAACCGCGGAGGCGGAGAGTACACGGGCTCCCGCAGGATGCGGCTAGCCATCTTCGGCTTGCTCGGTGGCACGGCTCGATGGAACCCGCGTCACGGCTCGCTTGCCTCGTCCGACCCCGCTGTGCGGCCCTGCATGTGAAGTCGCTGTGCCTCCGCGAAGGAGCGCCTGTTATTTGCACGGCCAGCTCCTTGCATCGGCCGGTGCCAGCAGCGCCTCGTCCGCGTGTGCCTGCGCTTGTGTGTATGTCTGTTTGTGCTCGTGGACGTTCGTGTGAGTGTATGTGTGCGTGCATGTATGTATGTGTGGTGGCGTGTGTGTGTCAATGTGCTGGTGTGTGCGCGCGCGTGTGTCTTACGTGTGTGGCAATGTACGTGCATACGTGTGTGCGTCGCCGTTGTCAGGCGCACAGTACCTCAATCGGACGGAGAAAATAACAGAAAAAAACTGAAGAAAACAATATTGAAACGTACCAGAAGGGACGTACCAACCACGGAAATAAACTTGCTATTGAAATGAGACTCCTGCGCAAGCTGTATATCTTTCCTGAAAAAAGCTGGGTAAGCGATGCCCTCAATTTTGACGCGATAGCGTTAGAGAGCTCGTGCCGCGGAAATTCCGCCGTCAGCGTCGGTACCGTTGGTTGTGAGCGAAAAATCGTTCGTGAGTGAAAAGGTGAGAAAAAAGGAAACAAAGTAAAGAATAAAATTCTTGGTTCCATTGAGGATAGAACCGTGGCCGTTCTCATGCAAGCAGGTGTCCTACCACAAAGCCACGATGTTACTTGCAGCTGTTTAGAAAACAAAATACACTATACATGAATGCCATATAGTAGAAGGAGTCTCCTTCACGCATTTTGTTCAACAGGTGTCACGAGCCCCTTTGGGGGCTTGTAGGCGCATTTGGGAGGCCATCACACTACGTCGAAAGAGGCCGGGATAGAGCAGCTATTGTTGCTATAAACACACAGTGTAGTGGAGCATACGCACCAACGCGTATGCGCCTTCGGAAGACAACGAAAAGCCCGTGCTCTGCTTGCGCGAGATTTCTGTGCCACCTTTGCCAGACTTGCCGTACGCCCACTTTCCGTTGAAGATTGGTGGGTCCCGCTGGCGAGTAGCGCCGGGGCAGGTAGACGGGGCAGCCGATGGTGCTGGCTGGGCTGGGACGGGCTGGTTGGTGACTGCGTCAGTCCTGTTTGGCGGTAGTCTTTCAGGCAACTTGCGAGAGCGGAACTTTCAAATAGCCCTAAAAATGGGCAACTATGCCCATCTAGGAGAAAACATATCATGCCTTTCCAGAGGCGTTGATCTAGCAAACAGCAAACCATGGAGGAAGGACACACCTTTGGAGAGGCCCTGACGTCATCCGTTGTTAAGCCGTGGTGAAGCCGGAAGTCGGCCATATTGACTGGGCAAATTCTTTTCTCTTGTTTACATCCGAATGTAAAGCAGAAGGCGCGACTCTCTCTCCGACTCAGAAAAAACGTGGGCTGCGCAGCGCGCGTGTCGTGACGATTCGAAACCAATGGAACGGGGCTCCACACTCTGGGCCAGCGCGACACTTTCGGTGAAATCATTTCGTTCGAGTATTACCAGCGAAAAACAGCTCACCAACAACGAAGCAAGTACAAGAGAACGCGCGCTAGATGCACTGACAACGGCACTGACAACGGCGAGTGTTTTCACCTCATTAATTCAGCAACTGTCCAGACCACACTATCGGTCGTGCGCCTTCCTCCACTGTTGCATTCCGCCACGTGGCCTATGCGGCGCGCGGCCACTGTGCCCGTCCTCCGCATGAAACTCACCGGCGTCAGCATTCTACGACCGTAGTGACTTCGAGCATGGTGCGAATGATACTTGAACGCGGTTTCTCTAACGTTAAGTTTACAATGCTGGGGGCGAGTATAACAAGCGGGACAGAAAAGGTGTTTTAATACGCACATGCAAGTTGTTACTGTACCTACTGAACACGTAACCAAGTATGTGCACATGGTCCTTATTGCGTCTTGCTGGGCACAACAGTTCTGTTCGTTGTCACAAGCAAGAGCACTGCCCAACCGTCACTGAACTGCCAGGCGTTCGTCGTCGTTCCGTTCCGTCATGGTGCCCAACGCAATTTCATTGAACACTTCACATGCTTCATCCGCGTCATCCGCCACACGACATATGAATTCGCGCTCGTTATGCGCACTGTTAAGGCCCCAAGGTGGACAAAAGATTTTGTAAACGTTGCTAGGAGTACAGTTGCTAGAGTACAGCGTAACCTACAACGTGGCGCAGAGCACGAATATTGTCTGCCACGTCTCAGCACGAGACCTGGGGAGGCACACAATCCGCCGCCAGCCGCGTCCGTTCACTGCTAGACCAGCTATTCCGTGCAACAAGTAACCATAGCAAAGCCGTCATTGCGCCAAGTGAATATGGCCGCCATGATGTCATTTCCTCCACACTTATCACATAGCGCGCCGGCTGGGCATGCCTTCTCTTATCTTTCCTTCCTCCGTGCAGCAAACGCTAAATAATGTGCTGCCATCTGTGATGCATTGTGTGAATCTTTACGGCCTCTCAAATGGCGAGCGTGCGGCGTGTATCTTGGAGGTCATGCGACTCTTGCTTTAGATCAAAAACCTGTATGCACCATTCGCGCGCATGCGCTGGTACAATCTACTGTGTGTGTGTGTGTGTGTGTGTGTGTGTGTGTGTGTGTGTGTGTGTTTGCGGGTGTGTGTGTGTTTACCAAATTAATTAATAAGTATCCACTTAGTGGTTGAAGGGTGCACTAGGGTCCGGATTTCGCTATCGCGTTCAACTCTTAAAGGCGAAGCTTAAAGGCCCCCACCAACTTTTTTTTTTGACGCAGTGTACTTCAAACTGATTTATTACCTATATACTCGATGAAAGACAAGCACCAAATTTCTATGTGCACGCGCTCCTTAAGTGTAGCGCGACGGGCCCTGTTTGCTCGTCTGTTTGAAATAAGAAACATATTTCTAGTTAGGCACACCGCTAAATTCTGACTTCTCCCAGGAAACGTAGCAAAACAAAAACAATAAAAAACATGCCGTGATGCTGTTGACGTTGCTCATCTCTTGAGCCCATAGTTTTGCGGTACATGTGCACAGTACCCGTGAATTGAAACGCTACACCGTTTTTGTTATGATAACTGCTGTGAGCAATTGCTCATGATAACCGCATCACGTCGCTGCGAATCTGGCCACTGAAGCTTTTGTCTCTTATGTAAATGCTGTTGTGAAAATTAAGGCAATCTGACAGGAATTGTAGACCCATAGGCGTATGCAGGGAGAGGGGGGGATAATCGCTGTGCCCCCTCTTTCTAAGCTAAAGTAGGGGGAAATTTTACGCTATAACCCTTTCCTTTCCGCCGTAAGTGACCATAGTCGGGGCGCAAAATCTGCCTCAACCTTCGTGCCCACGCCTACGTGTAGACTTTAGAAACGAAACTACGTGCATTATTAGCCCTTGATTCTCGCGTTTCGATTCGTGAGTACTATACTTTATTCAGACTGCTTGAGCGTCATGGTCGTGAGCCTTTTACAAAAGCTTGAAATAAAGTGAGGCGACCTTCGAAATGAAACAGTAGGAGTCCTAAATTGATATGAATCATTTGAACCAGCCTCACTTATTCAAAGAAGTAAAAGTGAAAAATGTAAAATGTCCGGGGAACCAGGAAGGTATTAATAGAACACAGTTGCGCAACTTTGAAATCGCAGCAATTACCGGAATAACGTTTTTATTAGGACGCAATTCTTGGTTGTTGTTGTTTTTTCTACGCCTGTACACAGCCTTATGAAACCATTTCCAACTTTTTACGTAATCAGCCTGACCGACTGGTCGCAAAGTGCAATACTCGCACTTGTATTGGGTGCAAAGTAAAGTAACGTAGCCATGCAATGGTAACAGTGCGCTGATCGTTGGTGCCAACGTTTCGACTAATAGACTTGTCTGCATCAGGAGAGAGGGATTGGACTGGGCTGCACTGAAGAGGATCGGAGTTGCGGGATTTGCCCAGTTTCCGTACGGCGCATGTCCGTTCAATACACGACATTACACGTCGACAAGCGGAGTTTCGCCGCTAAAAGAAATAACAGGCAGTGGGTCTACTGAGATAGAGAGGTTGGCGGTGTTCAGCAAGGCCTGCATGAAATCGCTGTTGAGAAATGCATCAGCCACCTTGACAAAGGCTATAGTCCACACTTTTTGAAGCACTGCGGCCATCAGAACACCCCGTTCAACGTAGCCACAGTGATATACGGTGGTTACAGCGCTCGGCTCCTGATCAGAATGTCATGGGTTCGGTCTCGGCTGAAGTGGTTGCAATACGATTGGGACGAAATGCTAGAAGCTCTGTGTACCGTGCTATGTTAGTTCAAGAATAACACCACACAGTGGTAATTTTCGGTGCCCTCTTTTAGGGTGTGTCCCGAAATATTATCGTCTTCTCAGCGCGTAAAACGCTGCGTAATTGTTAATCTTCTGTGTTCTGTTGTCTTTCATCAATCAGAATCTACTTCCCGAACTCCTTGCTTGCTCGGTTTACGACCATGTGGTTTATTTGTTTTTGTTTTTGAATTTATCGTAATCAGAAATGTTATATGCATATTTTTCTCGTCCTGGCAGCCCTTCGTCACAGAAGGAGGCCGACAGAGTTGTGTCCTCTCTGCAGAGAGCGCTGTTGCTGCCCTCCGGTACCTTTTCCAACGTGCGGTGAGTATACCTGCTCGCCTATTTCTTTTTTTTTCAGTGCAAGACATTTTAAAGTGCATTTGCAAACTTTCGTAATATACGTTGTGAAGCATTAGATAAACGAAAAAAATTTACGACCAGTTATAATGATCAGTGATGGAGGCTCATATGAAGAGGCCGACAAAGCCCAAAAAATGTTCCGAAAACTACAGACCAGCTGATGTCACTTGGCTTCCTCACGTTTATATTTTGATTTGTCGTCACACGCCTCATTCTCCAAGTTTTCACGTGCACGTGCATCGCTTTCGTTGCCCCGACTAAAACAATTCTCGAGTTCACTTGTGTCAGCTGCGTAAAATTGCTTTTCTTGTCACAAGTTAGCTGTGGCGTTTCATACAAGTTGGTTAGACGTCGATTATACGAATGAAGGAAAAAAATCAAGAAACGCTTAATTACCACAACAACACTTTGCCACTTGTGCCATTGAGGTCACGACGTGTTCTTGGACTCTTTATTGCATGCAATTTACACCGTTCAGACTCCCCGCCACCGTGGTCTAGTGGATAAGGTACTCGGCTGCTGACCCGCAGGTCGCGGGCTCTAATCCCTGCTGCGGCGGCTGCATTTTCGATGGTGGCGAAATTGATGTAGGCCCGTGTGCTTAGATTTTGGTGGTCGACGTCAGGTGGTCGAAATTTCCGGAGCTCTCCGCTACGGCGTCTCTCATTATCATATGGTTGTTTCGGGACGTTAAACCCCACATGTCAATCAATCACCGCTCAGGCTCCGGTATATACAGATATACAAGCTATGGCGCCTCCCCGACGTACATTAGATAACAATTTCAGAAAAAGAGAAAAGAAATGTACTCGACAATGTTACGTCAGCTATGCCAATCGCGCCACAATACACATGATGTACAGCCGTCCAAGTCTTCAACTAACGTCCGTGAGAGGCGAGTTTTCTTTGCGTCGGCGCCACTCGACGGAGCCGAGTTGCAAACAAAATCAAGGGAAGCGCATGCCCACGAAGCTCGATCAGCTGGGCCCATAGTTTGCGAGGCTATTAGAAGTAACTCCGTAACAGCGCATTTAAGACGAACCATGTTCTACTGCTTGTCTTGTGAGTGGGGGCGTGTGGCGTATCTTTAAGTGTTATTTCAGAGATTTCATGCTACAGCGTCCATCTTCGTAAACTAATATACGAGATAAACTTTTTACCTACTCGCGCTGTCTGATCATCTGAAGCGCGCTGATTCGGGATGACGCGCTTAAAAAAGATCAGACCAGCAGACTACGGACCCAGCTGAGCGCACTTTCCGTGCACGCGCTTACCCTCGTCGTGTTCGCAACTTGGCTCCGTCGTAAGGCGCTGACGCAGAAACAAGTCGCCGCTCGCGCATCCTAGTGATAGGTTTGGGCTGCGTTACATGCTGCGTTATCTTTTTTGTCGTGCCTGCACGTCATGCCGAGCGCATAATATTATGTATGGTTTTTGACAGACAGACAGACAGACAGACAGGCAGACAGACAGACAGACAGACAGACAGACAGACAGACAGACAGACAGACAGACAGACAGACAGACAGACAGACAGACAGGCAGACAGACAGACAGACAGGCAGGCAGGCAGGCAGACAGGCAGGCAGGCGAAGGAGTCATGTTTCGTAAATTGGCCTCCGCCTTGCGGACTCCCGAAAGCACCCTGCATTGCATTTCGAATCTTTCACCTGGAACTTCGGAAAGGATATACTGCAGGCCGCTAGGGAAAGGAACGCGGTCAATTTACCCTTTCGCGTGGCCGTATAACGCCTTGCAAACCGCTCGTTCTACGATGAATTCCGTTAATCAGTAGTGCACGTTTTCTGTGCGGCGAGGGAATATGCTCTTCGAGAGTCCTCTACAAATGCGCAACGACGCAGTTGCACAATGGGTGGGGTGTTCCTTCGGGGCATTACGGACGCTATAAAAGTAGTAGATCGGAATTCTTTCTCCGTTGCGCCTAAATTAGTCTCCAGAACTGAAAAACAAAGCAAGCAGAACGAAGCGGTTGTAATGAGCAGCAAAAGAAGACACTATAGAGCAAGATAGTACTGCAGAGAGAGGAGGTAGAGAGCGAGTGTAACGCCAATGTCGCAGTGTGGTACAGTAGCGGGGTTTAGGGAAGCCCGGGTCTCCAGGCTTTCCCCTCGCAATTTCGCTGAAGATTTACTCCAGCCAACGCGCACGGAAGCTAGGTCCAATCCTGCCGTGGCAATTACGAACCGTTTATTGAACCTACGGCTCGCGGAAGAGGAGAGGAGGACGCGAGAGCAGGATGAAGAAACCTATGTCATCCCTCCTTCCAATCTCCTCCCTCGCGCTGCCCCCTACGGCGGTGCCACCACCCGTCCTCGATTCGCTAGCGCAGATTTCATTTGAAGAAACTCATTAACTTTTCTTGAACGCCAGTTAGGAAATCGGCAGGGCCGTTTCTTCGAAGGTCTACGGCTAGGGGTTAGCCCTTCGCTCGCCGTTTCGCCTTCCGCTCACTTGCAGTGCTGAAGGCGTTTTCGCACTTGAGTCTTTGCTTGCCGCGCGAGGATTTGTGTTCCACTGCGTGCACGTGTCGCGTTATAGAACGAGCTACAATTTCACCGGTCCTTGGTGATTTCGATGTTTCGCCATAACTCGCCTGGTTGCGTTAGAGTATGGGAAAAGTGGCCAGCCACTGAAGATTCCGTCACGGGTGTAAGTCTCAAAGGCGCTGAGTGATACTTGAATGAAACGACAGAATCTACGTTGGACGATACACAAACGCAGGATAGAAGAAAAAGCACTGAGAGTAATACTTGTAAATAATTTCTAATTACTGAAAACATGTAATGGTGGATCGATACTGTAGAAGAAAAATACGGTACGCTCTTCGTTGAAAAGGATGTCGCGAAGTTGATAAAGTTACCTGTGTAAAAGTTTTCATGGACCTGTAGATGCTTGCGCCCTCTGAACGTGAGTTGTTTTAGTAGTTTGGTTGGAAACAAAGTAGAACTCAGAAGACCTTCAAATAACACCGTTCGGTTGCCTTCCACACTATGCTAGGTTTTGAATAATAAAAACAAAAAATGCGGCAAGATTCAGCAAGTGCGGTGGAACAAAACAGAAAATCAGATGCTTAGGCTTGTTTTTTTTTTTTTGCGGGTGGGGGGAGGGGAACTGGAGGCTTGTAATGTGTGGTGATATGTTAAATAAGTTTGGTTTGCTATCATTTTACAACACTGAAAGCTCAGTTGGAGGAAAGCGTGATCGCTATTTCTTCTTTTCGGTCAGTGTGACATCTTTTCTGTTATTTACAGTCTGGAGGGAAACCGAGTGAACTTCAAGGTGAACCCGAACTCCCAGAACCTCAACGCCACAACCGTCGCAGCCAAAGCAGGTGAGAGTTTACACCTGCATGCTGTTGCTCCAGGCACTGCAGTGTGGATATCTTTTTTCATTAAACCGCAATTAAGGGCGTTGGTTGGCTGATATACGAAGCTTTGTAACTGGAGAAAAAATAATTTATCCTTGCTTGGACGTGAATGCTGTTACCTTGGCTTTGGCAATACCCGTAGTCAACCAGCTATACTAAGAGGTCGATTAACAGGCTGAAACCTATCTTAATAAAACTTTAAAGGGTCTCATTGTTAATATATGACAAAATATCCGCATTGACCAAACGATAACATAATCTTTTAGGGGTGAATTTTTGCAATGCCAGTTGCTATTGTATGGAATGAAGCGCGTCTTCCTCTTAAAGGAACAATAAATAACCAATTATGTTTTCGTTGATTCTTAAAATAGCATTCCAGAAACTTCTTAGTGTTACTTTTGTGCAAGGAAGTGGTTATTTTGAAATAAATTATGTTTTAGTGGTCCGCATCAGGTTAGTGCGCTTCAAATTACCCGCCTCAAGAGGAACTTCACACGTCAATGTTGCCGTGCACAACGTTTCCCGACATCACTGCGTGGCCGCCGACACTAGTAACAGCAGAACGAAAGTAGCGGGAGCCACAGCAGCAACAACGGACATTGAACAATTTCCTGCCATGGCCGGCAAGATGGCAGACGTGATTGGTTCAACTGGGCCTCGCTAGATGGCCCTACCTTGCCAGTTTAACCAGGCGAAAACTGAACTTTTGAACCGCTCGCGCCATTCTCCATAGTAACGTCCGATGGTTCTTTTTTTACGTTAATCAAACAAACACGAACAAGCGGCATTTTATTACGTCTCTTGATGCCTAGAACGTTCTTTCTTTAGTGAAGCTAGTTTGATTACTTGTGAATAATTGTAGGTGGTACCTCTGACGTAAGCGGGCTCATTTTGCAAATGTCCTATCGTAGTGCATGTTTTTTCGTGTACTTACGTGTTTCGTGTCTCGGTAAGTAGGACACTGCTGTTGATGATACTACCGTTTTAGATGTTGTCATACATTGCTATTTTGTTTTATTATTTTAGATGTCGACCTAAATTGTTGTTTGTCTTTAGTCTCTCTTTAAAGCTGATTCAGCCCCTGAAAGTTGGCTCATTCAGAAACGTTTCTCACAGCGTAGGATAATTTGCGTGTGCATTACTAGAAGCATACTACACGGCAGAAACAACGTAGCTTTGCCTCAGTGCACAACAGTCACAGAATGAATGTCTCAGTTTTTATGAAAAAAGTAATGAAGGGTTCAATTGTCGTCATCCGTCTTTACTTATTCACCTTTAAGTACGCAAATTGTGGAGCAAGTATGCACACATTATTTACGAATTTGACGCAGGATGGTGGTGAGAGAGGGAGCTGCATATATTCCGCAATGTCAGTTTCGGTTACTTATTAAAATTATTATTTCTTTGTTACCTGTTGCGATAACATAAATTACTACAGCATAATATTGAGTTTGTGTACGAGCGTATTTGTTGCAGAAGCCATCAACAATTGCGATAATGGATCATTAGTAGCACTCCTTTTCACAGCATCTGTAGCAGATTCACCGAAACCAGTTGCTGTTCTCACGCCAAATAGGATGTCAGTTTGGTTACGAGAAATTATATTCGCACTAATTCGTTAGAATCCACGTTGATGCACGGTTCTTAGTTAAAGTAGCGAACGCCGCCCCAGCAATATCACCCCTTGGTCGAGGGTAGTAATCACCTGTTCAAGAGTTTCCAACTAAAGATTAATTGGACGCTGTGACAAGAGCCAGGGCAATATAATAGACTTGTTTTAAACACCTAAGTAATGTTATCGTGATTAGTTTTCCTTTAACGAAAATACGCCGTCTGGGCTTGTGTCGCAGATTATAAAACAAAGAAGCAAAACATCCAACAGAAATATTTGGTTTCTTTAGTGCTTGCGAACTTCACACTGTAGAGGAGATTGCAAACTTCTGCTCTAATGCTAGCAAAGCTTGCTGTAGTCCATGGAATTCGTGAAGAACGCAGACATGAAAGTGTTTTTGTTTTCGCTGAGTGCGGCGTGTATTATTTTGAAATTGGTAAAGGCAGAAAAAAGTCTCTAGCATAGTTTCCAGCAAGTGCTAAAAACACAAAAACAAACTTAGGTGGAGCAATCGCTCGCACAAAAACGTCGGCGTGCCGTTTAAGGCTTGATTTTAGAAATAGTTAAGCTTTCTAAAACAGGCTATTCTTTCAAGTTTTTCTTCTTTTTTTAAAAAGCTCAGGGGATTCTCAGAGCTTGATGAAAGGCACACACCCACGCAAATACAGATAGAAAGAATCGAAAATATCGTCTGAATCATAGCTTTACACAACGTTTACACATGTTTGTCTATGTTACCGATTGATTGATATGTGTATGTTAACGTCCCAAAACCACTATATGATTACGAGAGACAACGTAGCGGAGGGCTCCGGAAATTCCAACAACCTAGGGTTCTTTACCGTGCACTCAAATCTGAGCACACGGGCCAACAGCATTTTTGCCTCCATCGAAAATGCAGCCGCCGCTGCCGGGATTCGATCTCGCGACCGATCAGCAGCCGAGTACCTTATCCACTAGACCACCACGGCGAAGTGCAAGGCTTTATCACAGCAGAGCTGGCGGGCACCTAGCTCGTCCACGTTACCGGACTAACGCAAGATGGCCCTACTTACGCTATCCGCAGCGTACATAGCGTACAGATTCCGTGGCTCCGCGTACACGTCTAACTTTCTGCAGGATGGGGAAGGCTGCAGCTTTTGACGGCCAGTCAGCATGCTCGCTTTATTGAAGTGATTGACCTGAAAAAGTAACTTGGACTGCGGTAGCCATTCCCGAGATATAGATAGTCCACGCCAATCGTGAACGCCTGTGTGCGCACGGAGAATGTAGTGAGCAGGAAGCTCCGTGAACTCAGTGGTTTCTACTTGCCTTGCCCACCGGCATTCCAAGTTTTCTCAACATTACGCCGTTTTAGCTAAACGGAGCCTACACGCGGGTTCTACAGCGGCTTGACGAGCTTCCTGCTCGTTGGAGGCAGAGAGCGCGACCGTTCGCCTCATCCGAGTGCTCGAAAGACTCCGACGACGACCGAGAATGTAACGCTTGTTTCGCGTGCCACCGATTTGTTCGAGGTTCAGCGGCGCTAGCCTCAACGAGCCTTCACCAATGCACACACACACCGACGACCGCCGCTTAGAAGTTTACAGGCCCCGTATAGACTGCGTGGTGTGCCGAGGCTTGAGGAGGAAGCGCGACGTTCCATTTGCGACGCGCTTGTGGTGCACCAGCACACGGCCGTCTGCGCGCTCTACGCGCTAAGCCCCCGGCCGCAAAAACCTCGGTAGCAGGCAGAGAGGTAAACGGCGCCCACGACGACGCCATGCGCGGGCGAGCAGTGTCAACACCAGCGCCAAAGGAGGATCTTTAGACGGCGCGCCGCAGAGCCTTTAAAAGCGCCCGTGCCGAACCCTGTGGCCAAGCCGGCTTCTTCCCACGGGTTTGCAGTAGCGCGTTGCGTTTTCTAGCCCAGAGAGGAAGAGAGAGAGAGAGAGGTATGAGCGAGGGAACGGCGGCAACGACGGCCCTTGGCAAACAACGTTCGCGTAGAGAGGACTCAGAAAAGCCCCGGACTATCACCGACGCCCCGCCGCGGTTACCTTTATCCTCGCACTCTCCGAGAAACGTGGACAAGTATGGCAAACGTTTTTAGGGCCGCAGAATTTTCTGGCGTTCTTGCCCGCAGACCCGACTATGAGGCGCTGACAAGCAATGCCCGTTCGTACTGCTTTCGCGTTCTTCGTAGCTCTTCTTTTTTTTATTTTTTCTCTTTTAACGTGTGCTTTTTCCTCGTGACACGCAGATACTTGTATCTTCAGATGGTGCGATGCTAGTGAAGAACCATCTGTTTTTTTTTCTTTGCGGATGGCATTTCGCAAACACGATAGTTGAATCGTTGAAAGTTTTCGGATAGAACCTACTTTTGGCTACGGTATAGGCTCGAAAGTGTACACATGTCGATCTGAGATTCCCGCCAAAACTGGGCTTTACTCGAGGCGAACGTTTTTCGGGAAACAACGTAGCGAGTATTTATGTGGATACGGTTACTTTAAGCATTTTTTGTCTCGCTCTTTATGACGAGCAAGACTGAGATAGTGCCTATTGCAAATATTGAAGGAGGAGTGGTACATGCACGTATTATGTGAGTGAGCACTACAACAGGTCGCATTTTCGGAGTGTTTTCGCTGTGTCGAAATCAAAAGCTTTATAGAGTTGCGCGAACACCTTAGGGTTTCGCCGTGCATCGGCTGCATGTTTTAATTGATATCATTGGCGTGAATCATGGAGAGGGGGGTTCAGAAGGATCAGCACACTCCTTGCATTCAAGCTGCGGGGAATATACACCCCTTGCAAGTGTGACCTATGAGATTTTTATTTAGAACATGCTATATTTGAATTACTTGACTGGTAAGTATCGCACATTCAATTGAATTTCCTAAGGGCTTCATAACTATTTTTCAGCATGCCCAATACCGCTCAGCAGTATGAGACATTGAATTTCGCAAACGCCGCTTGATCGGTTCGTATAGAAGACCGAATAGAACGGTGCCATTACTCGAGCTCAAACTCAATGCTCGTTTTTTTTTAATTTTAGCCTTATTGATTCTACAGACATGTTCAATAAAGTTGTTCTGTCTCTCAATTCATAGCGTGATTCAATTATCACGTAAATAAAAATTCAACCCAATTGAAAAAAAAACAATATGACTGTCATGATATGATTTTTATCCCCCCTTGTGATTGTTCTGGACTTGGGTCACTGATCGACATCACAAATATTTCGCGAAATGGAGCAACAGGCCGCTAAGTAGGTAACACATGACCATGTTGTATAATATGGCGAGTTGATGAAGAACTAGGATTATCGCTAGAGATGGCACAATGAAGCCAACAGAGAGTGAAGTAAAGGAAG